TGGACATAAAATGTGCTTCTTGGATAAATCACAGTTTGTAATGTCAAATTGGTAGTTTGGGACATTTTGCGGAGCTTAGCTAACATTATGCATGTTGGTCTCTGACAAGTTTATTATGTGTAAATGTGGGTATTGGAGCCAGGAATCTTGGCCTTTTCTTTAAGGCATCCAGTAAAGAGGACACCTGTACTCTCGATGGGGTACTTGGTCAGTATTTCCAATCCTGCAGCTCAATAACGGTACCTGCAGGCAGCTCCTGCAATTTGCACCCCTGTGCAATTGCGACTGACTTTCAGATGAGGCAAATTACCTTAGGTGCTGTGAAACCTGGGAGTTCAGGAAGAGAAGGTCACGCTGCAACTTGGCGGGACTGTTGGGAATCATACTGAGTATCGTGGGTTTTGTATCAAGAAAAGAATTCAAAGAGTGTAACAAGAGTAAATTTAGTCAAAAGTAGATACATGTGTCTATAGTATGTGATTTTATGTTTGAGAGATTCCTATCATTCACCAATACCGTGTCCTCATGAAATGTCAAGTGGCATCAAATTCATGGCACAATACATTTATAATAAATTAAGTCCTTTTGCATTTTACTGTAACAGCCACGAATATAACAACACGCTTTACCCTAGGAGAACACATTACTTGGTTCAATACCGGTATTTTCCTGCAAGGTAAACTTAGGGTGAGTCCAAAATGTCATCAGCCAAACAAATTTTCCATACTTGATACTCGGGAGAGAGTTCAAATGATAGAGGTTGATCCAAGGTCATTCCAAAGGCGCGGTAAGAAAAATACCTGTCTGCCTGGGCTGGGAAGATAATTCAGAACTTGGAACAAACAGACTTTTCAAAATGTCAAGTTTTCTCCTGGGGTCTTTGAATCCCAGTACCATAGAGTTAACAGAGCTGAAAGTTTAGGTCAGGATCTGTTAAGAGAGTTGTATTTTTACATTGGAGAATTCAGTATAATACATCAGCAAACAACTAAGGGTTATCTTTTCAAAACGTGCGCCTATCAATGATGTCACAGCATAATATGGAAAAAATAAGATATATCAATTGCAACATCTATGACTTTATCCATAATACTTTACTTTACTTTATTCTTTATTTGCAGATTGAAATTGAAATTTGAGGTAGCATCATGTACTAAACAATTTAAAGCTTTCAGAAAATACAGTATGGAACATCTTTGTTGTACGCAAAATGAATGTACATGTTCATCAAGCAAACAATTTCCTTATGTCTTATCCATCTATTTTCATATGAATATAAGACATTATACTGCATGGGTTACTGCTGCCACTGTGCTGATATATACACCAACTGAACTTGGGCAATGAACCAAATCATCCCCGATATCTTTAGGTAAATCCCTGTTGTTGCAACACTGCACAAATAAATTTGAGATTCAGTTTGGAATCCAGGGGATCAGGAAGATTTCCGACCCTCTCCGAGCACCCCAAGAAAACAAGGTCGAACTTGGGGAAATTGGAAATTGAATAGGCAGAGCATGAGTGAGCCGGCACACAGCATGTTTGATTAAAATCAGTGGAGGACAAGTGATGCATGGATGCTTCCGGGATACGCTCTGAGTCTTCACTTGGTATTCAGGACGTATAGACTCCCTGCTTTCCAGCTTACACCAAAGCCTTGGAATCAGCATTGGCTTTAACCATATGCCTACTGATTGACTCATGTGATGCACATGTAATGGTGCTGCATCAAGAAGTAGGACCCTAAATGTACCTTTGAATTGCTCAATGACAATTTTGAAAAACGAACAAAGCCCCTACTTCGTGTAGAGTACTTTTGATATTCAAACAAATTGCTCTATGCTTGTTTTCCGCTCCCATGCCTTTCAACCTACTTATGTTTACATGAACCATACAACCTCGTTTCCTTCCAATGTCTGGTTGCGGGGGATTTGGGAAACATTTGGACCAACCCTTCTAAACGAGAACAAAGTACTTTGTTTTTGGCCTGACCTCCACAAGCATTTAGGTCAGACCTTCAAGGTCCTTGGCAACAAAACCTAACATTCATGAGGAGCATGTGACGCTTCTAACATCAACGCTCTGAATATTTCTCAGGCATCGATCCTTCTCTGTACAGACCTTGAGACAAAACAGACCTTGAGATGAATCCTGGACAATCCTTATGATTTCCCAAAGTTTTCATGTTGGCTACAGAACAGATCCTGTCTCATGAATATGATATCCTTGAATTAAGTACAAGCTTCCGTTTCCTCCTGATAAAATCAAATACAGCCTTGTAGATGGAGAAATGTCATACACTATAGTCACTGCTTCCTGATGGAGTAGATATGCATGAAGATCTAATTCTTGTGTGGTCCAGAGCTTCAAGGTTACATTGTGCACAATCTTCTGTTAGTAAATGGATACATGGCAGGACCAGCCAACTCACAAATACGTTTGATTTAACATACTGGCTAAATTTCTACAGACAAAATTTTGCTTCAAAGCTTTTTGCTTTAGAATTTGCTTTTGCATGCATCAAGTCCTTCTAGCAGTACTGATCCCTAAAAGCCAGGAAGCCGGGGATAGCCCTCCCAGTATCATTATATCACTTTAAAGTTTTGCAACTTCCTAATAGACTTGGACAACTCATCTGTCCGAGGGGATTTCTAGCATAAGTTTGTCCTTTAATTTGTTTGACCAAAGGCACCATCTCTCTGATCTTCTGCCACCTGAGTAAGACCATGATGGATTATGCCTATTTTGAGTCTTAAATCACCTCTTAACAAACTCCCTGCAGGCAGATCCTCCTTTTCGAAGCAAACTTAAATGCCACAGATCCAAACACTGCTTTCACACTAATAACACTTTGATACCCAGTACAGTCATTAGGGGCACTTATTGTGCTCAGGGTGACTTGTAGTATGGGCCTCTTGCAATAGAAAGGAAGATTGAAGGCAGATTAAAGCCATTAGTATTGCCCTCACACCACATATGACCTTCGGGAAGAATGGTCAGGTCAAAAATAGCTGAGCTTTCAAGCCTGGAACTGCCTGACCTGTATTAAGGTTCAAGCAACAGGAGCCGCTATGTCAACATTGGCTTGGGCCATTTCGTGTTGTTTGAATAAATTTTCCGGTTCTTGAAATATGCCACCAGAACATGTATTGCCTTGTATTACACTAGCAACTACTATTTTGTTGAGTGAGTGAGTGAGTGAGTGAGTGAGTGAGTGAGTGAGTGAGTGAGTGAGTGAGTGAGTGAGTGAGTGAGTGAGTGTGTGAGTGAGTGAGTGAGTGAGTGAGTGAGTGAGTGAGTGAGTGAGTGAGTGAGTGAGTGAGTGAGTGAGTGAGTGAGTGAGTGAGTGAGTGAGTGAGATCTACACTTTTTACAGCCACCCACACCTGATACAAGAATGCACCACAGTACTACATTTTGCATGCTAAGGACAGTGTAAAACTGCAGTCTGGCATGTAGACAACGGTTCAATACAGCTTGTTACACATGTTCTTTGATGTTAAGGTAATGACAAGCTCTTTGCATCAATCAAGACAAGGACACTTTTAGAGATGACCTTGGTGATGCTGACAGGCAGAACGTCAGGCTCTCTGATGTCTCCAAATAAAAGCCTGACCTATAATGGCACTTTCCACCATTCTGCTGATTTGTTGTTCTCCGCTGACCTTCAGGTTTGCTTTGATCTTTATCAGTACATCCCTGTGGCATAATAAGTGTCTCATAACTCTACCATCGCTATCCACCACTCAAAGCTTCTGGAACTGTTCCAAACAAGAACCAAGAATTATAGACGAAAGCAATCTGGATACAGACATTTGCAAAATTAATGTTTTTACAGTTCACTTTGAATAACTGGTCCAGGAGTAGTTTAGTAATGAAAACAGAAGAAAGCAGAATTGCATGAGCTATCAGTCAGAAGAAACTAAGGAGCTGGATAATTATGGAGTAAGAAATTTTTAAAGAGAAGGGAGCATGGACAACCCAGTTCAGGATTTAGGATACAGAACTTTTATCTACAAAGTGCCCATTGTGCCATTCTGGCAGATATGATTATGAAAAACAACCTCAAGTTCAAACCATTGGGGATTTATCTCTCTATTCTCTCTTCCTCTGAACTTGTAACAAGCTCAGCCTTTCTTCATTACAATTACAGACCATGGGAACCATTACAGGTTGTTCCCCACCATCATTACCAAGGTTAATTGGCCAGGATCGAACCCATTTAGGCAGTTTTGTGGCTGTTTCTTCAGTATTGTCCAGTGGCGTAAGTACGTTATCAGAGGGTCAGTGTTATCCACACACCTTTTCATCTTTTCCTTTACAGCTTATGGGCCCCCCTCGGGGCAAGACGAACCTCCCCTATCTATAATTACCACACAGTTGTGGTATGGATCCATTTTAAGGCCGACGTCTTGGAAGAATTTCAGAACGTTCCTCCTTAAGAGCCTTTTCCCTTTACTGTGCAGAGACCTCCAGGGCAGACACAGCCTTTTCCCACACTGCAATTACGGAGGTTAATTACATGCACTCTATCTCAGGGACCACACAGGTCATAGACACAGAATGCAACATGCAGCCTGAGTTCTTCTTTGCTATTCCAACAAGCGCTTCAGGGAAAGATTGTTGTTTGACCTCTGACTACTGGGGGCAAGGTCACGGCATGTTCTGCCCTGGCCCTGTTCCCACCATTTCAGATGACCACTATGGGATTACTAAAAGTCTGTCCTATCAAAAAAAACAAATCAACGGAGGAAAGTTGGCTCATTGGAATTCAGCGTACAATCAAGCTGTTTGCTGGTATTTCTCAATTTGAAAATGCATGGGAGTCATTTTTCTTCAAAATAGATATTTGCTTGTAGAAAAAGTATGCATTGAGCTGATAACATTTACATTGAACAGGTAAACACATCTATTTTAAAAAGCAAGACTTTGAGCCATCAAACATGTCCCAGAATACACTGTCTTGGTGTAATGAAGCATGATGGGGGATGTGTCCTTACCTGTGTATGCATACTGCACCAATGCCCACAATGCATCAGGGTCCACGTCCTTCATTTTGATCTCCTCCATGTTTGCCTCCCGGACGTCGTTCGTGAACATGGCGGCGAAATAGTCCGACACGACACTCAGCACGATTCTGTGCGCCTGTATTCTTCTGGACCCGGCGATCAGAGTGACGTCGCACAGTTTCTTCTGGTACATGAAGGTCTCCATCTTTTTGAAGGTCTTCTCGGCGTGGTTTATCGAGCGGAAGCACTCGTTTTCAGGGCTGTTCTCCATGGTGGAACCGAACCCTGTGTTGATGAAGTACCTGAAACACACATCCACATGTTAGGACATTTGCAACTCAGTTTCATTTCACTAACTTCAATGTGACAAACATGACTGTACGACAAAGTCAGCTGCTGAACACTACTATTATATCTGAGACCTAGAAGTTTGACAGTAAATTGAGAATAATTCAGAGCAAGACATCCTCTACTACTGTAGCAGTGTCCTATTTAATAGATGACTTTGAGTGAACCAGAGAGCTCCACCCACACAGACGGGAGTGATTACATCTGCGTACAGTGAACTTAACAGAGATGATGTCACCGCTGCAAGACAAGATGGCTATTGATTAGCAAATAGTTCTCTGACTTCATACCTGACGTCTCGTGCTGATTAAAATTGCATGACCAATGGGTCAACTTCCAGACAAAACATCAGAAGGTACATGTAGCAGCCATGATGTTTCAGTCTACATGTAGTTTTTATGCTATGATAACATTGTCCTGTTACAATATATGTCAACTTTTCTCAGTCATATTCTAACTGTGATTTAGCACAACTGTTTAGAAATATTAGAAATGCCCTTGCTTTTACGCATGAGACAAATACAATTGTCGTGAAGTTACAGGAAATAAGTATGGAACTGGCTTAAAATATAATAACGCATGTTATGCAAATAATGACATGCAAACAACACTGTTTGGAGATTGATGACCGTTTTTACTTGAAGATGTAAAAACTTGACTCGTTAAATTATAAATGACTTCTAAGAGATCCTGAATATATCTGTTTATTCTAGGGCAATAAAACTTAATTAAAAGCAGCTATCCCAAGGGTTACCTGAATGTGATTTAATGGCACTTTCCTAAGAAGTGAATACATCATGCAACTCTACAGAGAGGCAATTATAGTCCCAATCTTAGTGACATTTCAAAACAGCTCTAAATGCACAAGGAAACAAATTGAGATGGAGAATGAAGGCCTTTACTTCTCTCTAATTGCCTTGGGTTCATACCTTGCAATCGTGCATCTTTCAAGACATCCCCATTAGAGGCGAGGCCTTTTTACTGTTGGCTGATTTACCGACTTAATTAGGGGTGATTTAGCAGGGATGTCATGCCTGCTGCATCAGTTTTATGAGAAAATTAAAGTGGGAACTGTGTCTGACATGATGGATGCTGCAGAGGAAATAGCATATGCCGCTCGTCAGCCATCCATGTTTGCCATCGCGTAACCATCGCCCCCCCCCTCCCCCAACAATCTGGGCTGCATCTTCCACATATTAAATCTTACTTTTATCTCACTTAAGGGATGTGCTAGGTGTGCACATGTGCTAGTATCACGGTTGTGATTTGCAAGAAAAAGCTACTATCTGTCACTTGTCTGGGCTGCGATGCATGTTGTAAAATGTCAGCCCACATTTCATGCACAGGTCAAAATATGTACTATGTACTATATGCTATGTTGCATGATATTCTACCAGGAGACTAAATTCTCAACTGTTACATGCTGACTTCTGACCCAAGAAGTAACCTTAATAATTATGATTCTTAGAAATAGATGTGTATATAATACTAAAACAGCTGCCTTTTAGAACATGTCAATTATGCAAAATATGAAATTCATTGACAAATGTTACCTGCCTACAAAGCTATGCAGCAGATACTTGATTTGCATAATTATTCCATGTTACCCAGTAGTGAGCACAATGGAGGTAGAGCATGGAAGAGCTGGTTGAAAGGGTTTCTGTGTTGATTGTGGGTACACTAATGTCAGCTACATTAATGGGATATGGCTAATTTGTTTGACTCCAAAGCTTAACATACATGACAATACCCTAGCCATCTGGCAACACAATATAATCTTCAGTTGTAAAGGGGATAAAATTCACAATCAGCATGAGTTGGGTTACATTAAATTTATCTTTACTAGAAGATCTGTATCTATAACATAACAGCACTGTCCTTGGTGCTGAAATGACGTTACATCTATATCTTTCAAAATTGAGGGATTATGTTTCAATCATGTAGTCAAGATTGTAATGTTACTGTTCCTTTTTGTTTTAACTGCTTACAGATTAGGCTCTTTCCTTTATACATGTATATTGAGAGCCATCTGGCTATTTGATGGTTAAGGGCATTTATACAATGGCTTATGTGGTCTCCTATCACAGTGGTACAGAGCATCCACAACTGACTTCTCTATGGTGAGAGCACCTTGACTGCACCTCTGGCAGTACACAATTATCATCCCACTGTAAATAACACCACTTTAGTCATATGACCTCAACTTATAGAGTGGCTTATTCATCCCATTCTGATAGTAAAGTAAGCTCTACATTAACTGACTTCACTCCCATTCTGACAGTAAAGTTAGCTCGGCGTTTGCTATCACAGCCAGCATCACACCATAGGGATTTAGCTATGTGTCAGCTAGAATTGGCAACTTCAACAATTGAACCATGAAGTGATACTTCTTAAAATATATTACAAGATAACTTAAGATGGCAGAGAAAACATAGATTTGTATACTGTCATACCAGCATAAAGGGCTGACAGGTGCATCTGTATTGCCTGAATTGTCATTAATAATATAAGATTAATTAGGTAGAAAGACATTGTGAAGGCTCATTATGACAAAACTTTCAAAATTAGTCTTGGCAAGTATCAGTTGGTTTTCAAAGTTCAACATTTTGACAGACAAACAATATTCCACTGAAAGAGTTCACACCAGGTCACTGGTGTTACCAAAGGTTGACTTCTGTGCCCTTTGCTAGAAATAACCAGCATTATACCTTCAGAAAAAAGGCTTCCATTTGAAAGCGAGGAATCAGCCCCTAGTCCTGCCATGCCTGGGTAATGTCTTTAATAATGCTGAAAGGATATAGTGCTGGGATAGTGCTGGGATCATTAAGTGTGAAGTAACGGCGGGGGTTAGGCAAAGAAAAGGTACAATCACATAGCTTATGATGCAACGGAGAACTGCGTAAACAGGAAGTGGATAATATGTCTTCTGGCAGCTGCAAATTTGCCTCAGATTGCCCGATATTTCAGCAGGGGATAAAACATGGAAATTACACCATACATTCTGACTTGCCTTGTAGACGGCTGGGCAGCCAACCCAAGGACGTACCAAAGTAATGGAAATGGAGGGAGGAAAAATACTGGTATACATCAAAGTTTCAGTTGGCAGTAAATGGTGAAAGAGGTATATAAGCTGGCATTTGGAACCAGCAACCTAAAACACAAGTTTCAGTCTCCGGGAATGCTTAAATGCTTACCTCTCAAATCGGGATGATGACATCTTGCAAAATGAGTCTACAGAATCAAAGCACAACTTGAGAATTGCAAATTATACTTGAGAAACTGAACCTGCTTTTTGAGCACCTCCCATGCAAGAGCAGGCTTTTATGCCTGTTCCTCTCAATGGTAAGTTATTAACTGTGTCATATATCCAGGTGTTCCCTTTCTTTTGTTCTCACTTGTCCTGGCACTTGACATTTAGCCAAAATCATAACAGCAACCAGCGTTCCATTGTGAAATACATCCTACCAGCCATGCTCACTGTGCACAGTTAAGTACTGGATGCCTTGTTCTCTAATAGCTCAGCACCGCTATTAACAAAGATATGGCTGGAGAAAGGGAAACTTTATCTTCATGTCAGGTGCAGGACAAAACAGAGGAAAAGACTATGTGGCCATTGACAGGCTTTTAGCGGCAATATGTCATCACATGTTGGTGTGTTGATGCCCAAAACATCCAAGAGAAAGGACGCAAATGGCAGGGGAATGTCCAACGGACTTGCTTTATTGTTTGCAGAGCAGGTGGGGAGTCCTGATGACAAAGTAGCACTGTTTTTATAGCACCTGGCCTGGGAGGGAGGCCAGTAAGTTAAGCAAAATGACCCCTGACCCCAACCCATCAACGACACACCTGTCTGCTGCCAAAACAGCCTGGTATACATCAGCGGACAAAGGCTCCTACAATGTCGGGGTTTAAGGTTTGTGAATCGCATCCGTGCTAAGCTTAAAGAGTACTTCAAGGTGTACAAAAGTAGCGCGTGCCCCTGAAGCCTCGCAGCATCACCCCAAACAATAATACAGGGAGACCTGTCCATCACGACTACATGAGGAGACCCAGATGAAAGGAAAGACACATAAGGAAGTGTTCAGCATGGCAGGGATATTGGGAAGGGTTGAAAGACTGGTGTTTTAATTGTAAACAACATACATCCTGTGGAAGGATGAATTTTCTCTGCATTATTTATAGTCCAGGCGGATTAATTTCAAATGGAGGGAAAGTGGGGTCCCTTCAGAATCAATCTAGGGTCATTGCTATATAAACAAGTGACCATTAGACTGGGAGAACATATTACATGCACAATGTACGCTTGTTCCACCAATAGCTTACAACATTTGCCACTACAAATTATTCCTTTTCCTATCATATCGGTACTACAAGATTATTCCATTTTCACATATTGGTCAGAAATATTATATTGTCAGAACACTGGCATGATTACCAGCAATAAGCACAGCATAAGTCATGCATTGAACCAGCTACCAGTTGCAACTGTTACTGTTAAAATTTCAATCAGAATCTGAAATTCTGAATAAACTCAGGGAGGTTACCTATTAGATACATGTAAAAGAGCCTTGCAGATAATCTCCATTGATACAATGTAGACAATATAATGTTACATGTACATGTATATGCAGATGACTTGGTGCGTCCACCCACCTACATTCCTGAAAACTACATCATCACAGACAGACCATAACAATCACCCTGATCATATCAAATAACTGTCTTCACTATGCTAATGAGCCATACAGTCCTGCCACTTAGGTTATTGTTACAGAAGAGGAGACATGGTCAGAGCAAACTCAGGAAACATCACTGTTATGGTAACATGCACAGTCCTGCCCAAAGGTTTATGTTTAGTTTTGGTAGTAGAGTGTGTTTTCCTTTGACCATTTGACACATTAATCCATGTCGATTGAGCAGCATACATGTACATATATCTGTGGCAATTTTGAGT